AGTGAGGATTAAGGTGTAGAGATGATGGATGGATGTACAGTTAATCTTCCACTATATTGATGAACAGATGCATTATGGCTGCATAGTCTGGGTTGTATCACCACCTGTTAGTTTGGCTCCTAACAGTGCTTCAGCAGTATTTATGTGTCTTAATGTGGACAGAAATTGTGTGTGTTTTTTTTAATGCCTGTGTAGATGTGGACAAGGCTTTTGAGAGATAAGATGAGATAAGATAAACTTTATTGAAGCCCCAGTGGGGAAAGTTCACCGTTAGAACAGCTCCAACAAGAAAAAGTGTAAAGTCAGAGCAAGAATAATTTAGAAACACACAGAGCAAAAGTTGGAAGAGAAAACATTATGATTTTTAAGAAGACTATATACACAAGGATGAGGCAGTAACAGTTGTTGCACATAATGCGTATGTAGGAGGAGAAAGCTCACTGGTCTACCTCTGTTACTGCTGCAGTTTATGATGCAGCATTGTAAAGTCTGACTGATGTTGGAATGAAGGAGCTGCTGAAACGCTCCTCCTTACATTCAGGGTCTAACAGTCTGCCGCTCACCTTAACTTAAACAAATACAATAAACAATAAAACAGGAGTCTCATGCCGGGTCGAAGGCCAGGGCATAAAAACGAGTTTTCAGACAGGTTCTCAAAATGGACAGTGATGGTGCTTCTCTAAGGTGCAGCGGCAAAGAATTCCAGAATAATGTTTGGGCCCGACAAAATAAATTAATGCCACCGTTTAGGTCAAACTAAAACAACTGTTTAGCTGTTTCTCTGCATTCAAAGATAGTGTTAATTACCCCACATTTAATGATTCGAAAAATGAAGTTTTTGCCAACTGGTATTAAAAGATTTTTTAATACCAATTAATTAATACCAAAAAGAAGAAGCATTTACTTTGTCATTATAATTATGAACATAAGTTTAAAAGTTGGCAAATTTTAAATATTGAGTTGCTCCAGTGTGAAGTAGGTAGTTAGAAATCATTTCTATATATACAGGTTCAGATTTGAGGTTCAAATTAGTTCCCTGACTATGCTTCAATGGGGAGAATCTGGATTAGTTCATGCCCAACCTTTGGTGTATTTGTCAAAATGCAAAAAAACAAACAAACAGAAAAAAACTTTCACTGCTTTTTTTTCTTTTCAACATCTAGACCACATTAGACCAGGTCCAGATGTAAAGCCACTAAATACAGACTGGTCAAGTCCGTACTGGAGTGTCCCAGAGAACGTGCTGCTGCGAATTTGTCGAGATTTTGCTCTATTAGAGAAAGTGGGGAGAAAAAAACCAAACACATGAAACGGAGGCCTCAGCATATGGGCCGATCACAGCCGGACCAGACTGTTTCTGATCAGTGAAGCCTTTATCGTACCTGTGACACACACTGCAGCTGATCCACGCTTTTAGTTTCCTCTGAGCTGCACAATTAGAGGCTCGTGCTAATCAGCTGTAAAAGTCACGCGCGCAGCGACGCTGAGCTCGAGCTCCGGTGTTTAAACACCTTTTATTCAGAAACATGAAGTAATGGAGCAGGTGTTAGCAGGCAGGCTGGTGCTGCTGTAGTGTGCAGAAACCAGGATACCGATGTTAGCTGGTGTGTTTGTAGCTGTGAGCAACATGTCGTCTGTTCATTTACAGCTGAAAACAAATGAACATTAAATAAACAGCTGCTCACACCAACAGCTAGCTAGCTTTAGCTTTAGCTTCCCCTGTAAATAAGTCCGGCACCTGCAGGCGTTGCTGTCGGCTCTTATCTTCATGTTTACACGCTGACTATCGGACCTAATCCAGCGGTCCACTCACTCACTCACCCTGCTGCCAGAGTGGACACACAACCGCCTCAACGCCTGCTTCAGGACCGGACACCCGAACCGCTGCATGGCCGCTGCTCGGCTCGGCTGTGACATAGCGTTAGCCTTTAGCATTAGCTCTCCGCTCGGCTGGACTCACCGGCTGCCTGTCTGGGGGTTCGGAAAGCTGCCTCTTCACTCGGAGCTCTTCGTGGTGTCCTCCAGCGGGTCCGGGGCGAGTCTGTTTGCTGCCAAACGTTCAAAAGCACCTCCTCATTTTGTTCTCGGTTCTCTTTCCGGGATGATGGTTTCTCTGGTTCCGGTGACAGCACAGCTGGAGCATCGGTCCGCTCACTGTTAGCATGTGTACAGGAGAGGACAGGAAT